CCCCGAGCGCCCCTCAGCCTGGCAGCGGCGTGGAGCCCTGGCGGGGATTGCGCGTGGTCTTTGTTTTGTTGGCTGTTTACAAGGTACACGTGTCCCTTCCCGCGACTCCGCCCCAGCCCTGCACTGTGGCTCCGCCCCCAGCCTTGTGGGCATGGCCATTTCCATTCCTTCGGGGACAGATTGTGATTGGACTAAAAGCATTGAAAGATTTCCGCTCTTTATTCTTCAGGATAGTTTTATTAACTTCCAGGTTTTCCTTAAGATCTGGCTAAGAGCTTCCTCCTTCCCAGGTCTTTCACAGGCTGTGTGTTTCCTCCAGGTCTCGCCCCGGGGACGCCGGTCTACAGGGAGAAGGAGGACATGTATGACGAGATCATGGACCTGAAGAAGGTAGCGGGTCTCCCTGCTCCTGGCGGGTCACCCAGCCATGACGGGAAAGCGGGGTCTGTGCTGGGCCTGGCCATGGGAGAGCGGGCGCGTGAGCGCGTGACCCCGGCCGCGCTCTGGCTGGTGACCCTGGTGGAGGAAAGGCCCACGCCCGCGTGTCTGCGCTGCTCTGCGCACGGGGAGGCGGGCCCCGCAGAGCCCTGTGGCCCTGAGACCGGCCTGCGATCCCAGCGCTCGGTGCTTTACGCCTCCCGTTCGTGTATTTCCTTGGTGCTAATGGGCGTTTCCCACGCCCTCGGCCACTCAGCACAGCTCACGGCTGTTATTGGGTGGTGACCTTGAGACTCAGAGAGGGCGGCGGTCTGTCCAAGGTGAACACTCCAACCAGCGGAGCCCCCGCCAGGGCCAGCTCCTCTCCAGCTGACCGTTTTGACGGCATCTCTTTCTCAGCCTTTTACTTTCAACCTACCTACCTCGTTAGTTTAAAGGAGTTTCTGTGGACAGCCTGTGATTGGGTCAGGTGTTTAGACTACTTTGCAATCTCTGTCTTCTAATTGGCCTGTTTAGATCATTTACATGTAATGTAATTGTCGCTATATTAAGAGTTAAGTCTTCCATTTTGTTAAGTGTGTGTGCGTGTGGCCTCATTGCCACTGGCCGATGGAAAGTCCTGACCCTCAGTGGGTCGCCTCTGACCTCCCCACACCTGCCCCCGGGAGGAGGGCAGCACCTGCTGCAGCCTGCAGGGCGGAGGCCGGGCCGCACTCAGCCTTCGC